TATAGTCATGGGACGTGGAGTATAGTGTGGGAGTGGAGTCAAGGGAATTGTAATAGATATGTATGATATTGGGGGGGAGTGGGGCGGCGGATTGGGGGAGGGGGTTGTCACCTCGAGGGGTAAAAAGTATAACTATTGCACTGTGATACAGTTGAAACTTATTCCAAAAAATTTGTATTTCACAATAGAAAAAAAAAAAGAATAATTGCTTTAAACAAATTCCATTTCCTAACAAAAGCAATCTAATGTTCATCCCAAACCCTTCTACTCATAATGGATGGAGGAAGAGAATCCAATTTCTGGTTCTTAGACCTGACACACGAGGCCCAATGTCTATTTTTATTGCTTTTCTTCATGTATCTTAACGTTCCATTACGGTAAATGGAATTCAGTTCAAGAATCTCATAATCTTGAGATATTAGATATAGGCAGTATGTCAGGCTCACTTAAATCCTCCAAATGACACCTTATTCACATACTATTTGCAAATGATATATTAAAAATATTGAATCTCAATCTCCATGGAAGCCCTTGATGCTTGCCACCTAAAAAGCCTAACGAAGATGTCATACTTCACTTTTTCTTGCTTTTATATATTTATTCAATCATTTCTTCTGATCAAGACACAGACCTTGTTAGAGGAATTTGCCTGGGACCTGGATACACTCTTCACACCCACTTGTAGATCATAGGAATACGTCATTTGGATTACCATATAATTCTGAAAGAATCCATAGCATTCCTCTTCTTTCCACACCTATGTTTTCTCCAAATTATATTACAATTTTGCTGGAGATTCTTATCAGATAAATTGGACCTTTACAGAACAGCCCTGGTCCACGTTCACTGAAAGACACACTATCGGATAACATCTAACACAAGCCCAGCCTCACCCAGCAGTGGCAGCAGGTGTAAAAAGCTGCCACAGGTTCAGGAGAGTTGACCAAGGGGCGGGACCAGGACAAAGACCATTTATTTTAACAGTGACCAGAGAGGCACGCCCTTCAACTCTCTAATGCATCAAGTACTACTACTACTCCAGCTGAAGAGGAGAGGCCAAAACACAGGGCCCAGAAGTTCAGTGCTGAACAGGAGATTAGGACAGCACCTTGGTACTGGCCAAACACAGGCTGGCCAGGCAGGTCAAGACTCAACCCAGGTGGAAACAGGCTTACTGAGAGGGAGGCTTACTACAACACACATCCGAAGTTCTTTTGCTTGCTGGTTTTCTTTTTATGCAAACTTGGCCCTTACCTTGGAATTCAACATAATTTCAGGAGCCCTGTACCAACGTGTGGCTACATACTCCGTCAGGAACCCTGTGTGATCATGGTCTGGATCTGCAACACGGGCCAAGCCAAAATCGCAGATCTACGAGAGAAAAAAAATGTGATACATTAGAGAGTCTAACCAATTTAATATCAAAACATCATAAAAATAACAAAAGACAACAGTAATAATTATGGTAATAAGTTGCTACTTGTACTATGTGGCAGCGATTTTGCTGGGAATTCTACATACTCATTCTTAATTAATCCTCACAACCACCTGAAAGGCAGATGACAATCCACATGTTAGGGACAAAGAACAGGCTGGGGGAGTCTGTACCAGGACACATTTTAAAAGGCACATCCCACCTTTCATTATCTGCTTATCCCACAACAATCTCATTTAGGTGGTTTGACAAAAACTGTTCTGTGTAAAAATAAAGTCACCAAAAACTGCCCAGGGTCCTTCTAGGACCCTCACCTGCTGGTGCTCCCAGGATCATCGGTGCTCAAATCAGCTCCTCAACCGGCAATTCTACTTCTCAGACTACTTACTGCTGTTCTTCCACCTGTTCCATGAGAGTACATATTTGCAAGATTCTTCCCCTTTCTTGTAGTCAAATCCACTCCCAAAACTTTAAAAAATGTTCCTTATACTTACACAATTTTTTATTTTTTAATATACAGCTTCTAATTTCTCCTGACTCACAAAAGTACTGCTGGCCTTTCATCATCTGGCCATCCAATACTTTGGTGCTACTCCAGACTCCAACATATATAAAATATAACTACAAGTATATAACTACAATATACTTAGTTCAATATGATTGCAGGATATTTTAAGTCGTTGGTTCCTGGGGAACTAACCCGAGAAAGAGAGAGGTATGTTAACAAAGATAGGCCAGAGTATAGAAGGCAGCTTAGAAGAGACTAGTTTGCAGGCTTACTGCTTTAATTCAGCTAAGAAGTGATCAGGGCCTGCACTCAGGCCATAAAATGGAGGCAAAAAGAAGGGACATGCCTAAGGGATAGTCATAGGACTTAAATGGACATCCATCTCTGCTTAGATATCTCATAGTTGAGTGCCTCAATAATTCAGAAAGATTCAGGAATGCTCCCATCCACCTCACAAATGTCTTCCTCTAGCCTTGGATACTGGCACCGTCATGTAGCACCTCTGATCCCACAGGTCCTGCGGCTTGCTTCAACTGTAGCATTCAAGTTACGTATCTGTGTTGTATAACTTCCGTCTTTTGACATATTGTCATTGTATCTCCAAAAGGAGCAAGAGCACATCTGCTCCCCCAGTTACTATTTCGAAGGCCACTTTCTATGTGTACTGTGTGTCACAGAGTTGCACGGTGAGGAAATCCTGAGTCTTGCTCCATAGCTCTGACAGCTAACTACAGCCACTGCACTTGCTTAGTATGCATAACCTCCACCACAGGCACTGGTCTCACCTTTCGAACCTGGCTTGCTTGCCAATGCCAGTACACCCCCAACACCCATGAGGTCAGAGGAGTTGGTTGATATATGGCCATAAGCTTTTAAGGGGGAATCATCGTAAGTTCTAAGTTTGGCTTACTTTATCTTGAGGCTTTCATGTACCTGCACCCTATTTGTTTCTTTAGAACCTTTTCTACCAATTCCTATGAAGTAAACTGCAGAAAGCCTTCTAAGTACTTGTGCCTAAGAGGCTCACTAGCAACATGATCCCATTTGGCATGATTTCCAACTTAGAGAAGCAATGAATGATTGATTTCTTCTTACATCTACGCCATTCAGAGCCCTCACCTGCCATCTTGGACTACCACCGATAAGATTTCAATTGTGTGGCTTTAACTTTTCAGTATCTGTAACCCATAGTTTCTCTTTTTTTTATTTTCCAGTTCAAGTTCAAACAAAGCTCACCACTCAGTGTGCCTTCTGTATTGTAAATGGACACTTGAAGCCACATTCTGAATCATGCAGGGAAAAAATACTGTGTCTTGTCAGCAACAAAAAACTAGCACAGGGCCAGCCGAGTGGTGTGTTGGTTAACAGTTGGCTTGGGACGCCAGCTATGAGCAGCATGGCCCCGGTTCGGATCCCACACGAGGGCCAGTGATTCTGCGCCCTCTACATCTTAGATGGTGAACAACAGCTCAACGTGGAGCTGGGCTGCTGAGAGACCGTGGGGCTGTAGCAGGCTGTTGTGAGCGGCGGCAGCCAGCGTGAGCTTTCGTGAGCTGCCATCCAATGGCCTGCAAGCGACTGCCTCCCCCGGGGAAGAGCGCAATGATAATACCAACATGGGCCAGTGAAGTGACCGTTTTCCACAACTAGACTGAAGAACCAAAGGACAGCAACTTGTCTGTTCCTCTTCCCCGATTCCCCAATAAAATCTTAAAAAAATAAACAAAAAGTAAAAAACCAGCACAGGCCCTGGACCATGACCATAGACCCTTCACCGTTCTCTAGGCACCGTGTCACACAGGCTGGATGGGTCCAGGCTTGATACAGTTTTTTTGTGGGTCAGTTGAATTCCAAAACAAATCCCAGATATATTAAAAAAAAAAAATCAGAACATAATCAATCACAGGGCCGGCTGAGTGGCGCGATGGTTAAGAGCTGTCTTGGGATGCCAGAGGGCCCCGGTTCAGATCCCACATATGAGGGCCAGTGACGCCGCCCTCCACAGCTAAGATGCTGAACAACAGCTCAACCTGGAGCTGGGCTGCTGTGAGTTGCTGGCAACGGCGTAGGCTGCAGCCCCTGTGGCAGTGGGTTGCCGTGGGCTACCATGTGTAGCCAGCAGCCAGCATGAGCAGCCAGCAGCCGCCTTAAGCGGCTGTCCAGAAGCCAGTGAAGCAACGTCCTCCACAACTAGACTAAAGAACAAAAGGACAGCAACTTGTCTGTTCCCCTTCTCCCAATTCCCCAGTGCTGTTCCCATTCCCCAATTCCCAATAAAAATCTTTAAAAAATAATAATAAATTCATAGTTCAGCAAGGCCAAGTATTGATGCTGATGTCTCCACACTCCTCTGGATTTAGACAAAAGATAAAATTTTGCGTATGTGTTATTTCTAAAATATAAGTCACCTCTCTGGCTCAAAAATCTTTTAACCAATCACTTCCACCTACTGAATGAAGTCCACGTTCTTTAAGCATGACTTTCAAGACCATTCACAAACTGCCGCCAAGCCACATTCCTGATCTGGTTTCTCCCACCACCATCTCTCTCTCTCTTCTCTCTCTCTTATTAAAGGAACAGTAATATTTATGACAATTCCTGTGAAGGAAGATAGACAACTAGCATATGGTACAAGAAACATAAAATGACCTATAGTACTCCTACCTGGCTACTTTTGGGGCAGTGTAAATTCAAATTTTCATAAAACAAAGGAAGCTCCAAAAAGGTTTCATTTCCTATCTTCCAGAGTCCAGGCACACCCAGAACCACACATGCTGTGATCTCAGCATCCCAAGACTAATGGGATTTCTGTGGGCTCAGTCTAGCACAAAGCAAGGACACAGACTGCTAGAGAACACATCCCCGTGGCAATTCCACTAAAAATAAGTTAGCAGACTTTCCAATCCCTTGTGTTTCTGTGGCCCTGAGAAATAAAGGGAAAGTCTACCAGACAGGGTCCCAACAAGGGTCCGGAGCAGCCAGCATCTGCTGGGTCTCAGCTTCAGATAACAAATGCAAAGCACGTTTATGAAAACCAAAAAACTCATTGCTGTTGGCCTTAGCTGATACCCGAGTTAACAGTTAAAGAATTGAGACACTGAGAAGAGCTGATAATCTGAGGGCTCAAGAGTAGGAAACACTTTGGTAACACAGAAGGCAATGGAAAAAGGAAGAAATGACATAATTACCTATTTGAAAATTCAAAAGGACCTAAATAATAAAAGGTGAGTAAGGTCACCGGTTACAAACTTTCTAGGCACAGGGGCCTGTGGGATGAGCAGCAGGATCACCCCAAGGTACTGAGAATGTGATGGGTGTACAGTGACCCCAGAGCTCAAGCGGAAAAGACTTCTCCCTATCGGCGCTCTCTCAACCAGGACCTATGCACCTGAACTGCCACCATACCCTGACCCGCCTTTCGGACATCCTTGCCATCACCAATCAGTGACTTAGTGACATACCACACTCATCTTTGGAATGAGCTTCTCGCTTGAATATTTATGCCCATGTGAACGATGCACAGCCCATATGTACTTTTTTAAAACGGGGGTGAATTACACTGCTGTAAATATCTAGACCCTCCTATTGTGTTTCTGAGTCTGTGTATTAAATTGGGTTTTAAAAACAATGCCTGAGGGCCGGCCGAGTGGCTCAGTTGGTTAAGAGCTCGCTCAAGAGTGCAAGCTCTGAGCAACAGCGGTTTGATTCCTAGCCTGAGCTGAGTTGCTGCTGAGCTGCCAACAGGCGGCAGGATGGCTCAGCTAAAAACAAAACAAAACAAAAAACAACAACAACAACAAAAACAATGTCTGGATAGTGCAGATGGCCAACACTACACCTATTAGCTTAGGTATAAATTTTGGTGAGTAGTGAATAAAATGGCCCTATGTAAAGAGAAGTCCACAAACAGCGTAGAGCCAACAAAGTAGTGTGATTGTTTGTCTTCTTAAAGATGAGCATTTTCATGCAAAAGTTAAGTCAACTTTTCCCAGAAATATTATGTACTTAAAATACTGATTGAAAATGTCTCTCCCAAAACAAACAAAAGCAATCTGCCATAACAGTGTTGTGTCAGAAAGAAACAGAAAGAAAAATGAAAAACACTAGGAGACAGTAAAATATTCATTGTAATTTCTCAAGAAAACCACTAAAAGCCAACGAAGTGTGGCCACTCCTAAAATGACCTTCATTCCTTTTGTTCCCACCTGACTTTTAATTGCACAGGTCCACTGAAAAGGATCTGGTTACATCCCATGTGGAAAGTACATGAATCTAACTTGGAAGGATCCTAAGAGGTAACACAGTCCAATCTAATAGTTCCTGATGTAGGAAGCTGACAGGGTGTCGGCCACCCGTTTTAGACTCCAAACGACAGCAGATAAGCTGACCACCTAAAGACAGAACTCACTGCCTTTTTTTAGATATTTCCAGAAGGCTCTCCACAATTACTTCCAACCAACCTCTCCAGCTCAGTGTCAGTGACTTCCTATTACTCACCCAAAGCTGCAGCCACACAGGTCTCAGAGTTTGTGCACTAGTCCCTTACTACTTTTTAATTTTATTTCTGTTGTTCCTTCTGCCTTCAATATCCTATGCCCAACACAGCGACTCGTCTACCGAAAGCCTGCCCATCCTTAGAGGGATACCTCCCCTTCCTCCTGATGCCTCTCATAGCCCTAGCCAGAACTAACCCGTCTCCTTTGCATTTGTATACCATTCTTTTCAATATCTCAGTTACAGCAGATATTATTACAATTACCTACTGTTTCAGATTTCTGACCTATCAGTTTTCAGAGACAGACACTCATCTCCCTTGCCAGGTACACCGTATAGGGCTTCTCACAGGAATGTCTGTTGAACTGAAGTCCAAGAAATGGTCACTGCTATAAATCTATCTGTACTTTTTAAACAGCTTTATTGAAGTATAATTTACATACCATACAACTCACCCATTTAAAGCATACAAGTCAAAGGATTTGGGTATTATAATCACAGGGTTATATAACCATCACCACCATCCAATTTTAGAACATTTTTATAACTGCAAAAAGAAATCTTGTACCCATTAGCAGTTTCTTACCAATCCCACTGGTCCTAGGCAACAACTAATCTACTTTCTGTCAACATAGATTTGTCCATTCCAGACATTTCATATAAATGAAACTATACAATATGTGGCCCTTTAAGATTGGCTTCTTTCACTTACATTATAATGTTTGCAAGATTCATCCATGTTGTAACATGTATGAATACTGCATTCCTTTTTATTCCATTGAATGAATCTATATTTTATTCATTCATCATCATCATCTGGGCATCCAAATTGTTTCGATTTTTGGGCTATTTTATTACTATGAATATTTGTGTACTACTTTTTGTGTGGACGTGTTTTCATTTCATTTCACTTAGGTATATATGAAGGAGTGGAATCCTCACCAATAATTATCATCTGACTTTTTATTATAGCCATCCTAGTTTGTATGAAGTGGTATCTCAGTGTGGTTTTGATTTGCATTTCCCTACTGACTAATGATGTACTTATTGGTCATTTATATGTGTTCTTTAGATAAATGTATATTCAGGTCCTTTGCCCCATTTTTTTTTTTTTTTTTTT